ATGTCATAATATTTGGTAATAAAAGTTTTATTAATAACTCAAACGTATTGTTATATTGGAGTCAATTTAGATTAGCTATAAATAAAAGGCTTTGCAAAACCTGTTTTTTATATACAATTTATATACAGTACATTATTATTACAGGTAGGAGCAAAGGTATACCATATCATACTGTTTAGCAATGTAGTATCAAGGTAACATCAACGAATGATAAAGTGTTTTATAATTATTAATATACATAACTTATTTCAATTGAAAGCAGACATCGAAAAGGAGTTAAACTTTGCTTACATTCAAGTGTTTTATAAATTCAATTATGATTCATAACTATTATAAATATTTTATACAACAATTGCGTGAAACCAAAGATCACTTTCCAATACAATTGCTGTACAAATAGAGATTGTATTGCATTTTATTAGACAAATAATGGTTACACTAAATGCTAGAAAAACTATTAGTACTTTGGGTCTGCTCTTTACAAACAATTGATAAAACTAAAAATGCAATTCATTAGTGGTAGTAATCTTATCGGCAATCCATTGGCTATAAATCGATGGGGAATGACATCATACTCGACATACCAGTGCCAGTGATAGGAATATTACCAAAAACAATAGCACAAACTTAATAAACTTCACAAACAACTCACTCACTGGTCAATCAAACATCACAATCACACACAAACACAACTCACAATCAGTTTTCAATTACTTTTTATTAGTTTTTTACTCAAAAAATTTAACAAATAATTAATGACTTCGTAATCTAAACACAAAACCCATTAATTATTGTCTCAATGAATGGTATTTTCTTGAGGGCGACGACACACTACTTCTGCTGATTCTGGACCCGATTCTGTCCACCTCTGTTGTCCTCGCGTTGGCCGGGCTTCTGGAAACGGGGCGGTGGGGTCCGGATCTTGCGGTCCTCTTTGCTCCTATTCCTCACGATCTTCGAGTGGATGGCACACGAGACACAGTAATGCAGTTTCCTCTGTTGTCCTCGCGTTGGCCGGGCTTCTGGAAACGGGGCGGTGGGGTCCGGATCTTGCGGTCCTCTTTGCTCCTATTCCTCACGATCTTCGAGTGGATGGCACACGAGACACAGTAATGCAGTTTCGCGTACAGCTTCGGCAACGGGTAGGCTATCGGTCACCACAACAAACATGAGATCATTATTAATACAATGCAAACACGAAAAACAATCAGTCATTATGTCTGAAATGAAAACTACGAGAAGACTTCGTGTCTTCAATAGATATGAATGCCATTCAAAGGCAATCACTTTTACTGTTAGCGGATCTAAAGCCTCAAACANGAGATCATTATTAATACAATGCAAACACGAAAAACAATCAGTCATTATGTCTGAAATGAAAACTACGAGAAGACTTCGTGTCTTCAATAGATATGAATGCCATTCAAAGGCAATCACTTTTACTGTTAGCGGATCTAAAGCCTCAAACAGACGGGTCTTCAGTAGCTGTAAAATCACGCGAAGAAGTCCGTGTCTTCACGTGCTATACATAACCACCCGAAGACCCGTGTCTTCAACGGCTGCGACACCACTAACAATGTCTTCGGCGGCTATCATAACCACTACTCAAAGACTGACTGCACGTACTCGACGTGTGCCACTCATGACAAGTGTACCACAAGACACGTACAATCATAGACCGAGGCTTCGGTGATGTCCCTGACGGCGGCCGCCTCCACGATATTCCGCACCACAAACTTCTTGATGGCCTTGTCTTTGGGCACACATCGGGCACAATTAGTACAGCGCACGGCCTTCACGTGTCCCCTCCCGTGTTTGGCCCGACCGTTGTTCCGGCGCTTCTGAGTCTGGCGTACGAGCGGTGGATATGCGGAGGAATGCAAGGGTTAGGTATGGGCGAGTGATATGTGAGTTATCATTGGGTTTACCATTGTTTTCGGTGATCGATGCGAGACTTGTGTGACTTTTATGCACAAGACTTCAGCGGAAAAGGATATCAACACTGCTTTGTGGGCATCGAGTTAAGGCGCTGTTCATAGAGTACGTCCGTGTTTTGGGTCAACACTTTTGGTGATTATTTGTGAATTGTGTTCAATTTATTTGGGTTTTTGTTTAGTTTTGTGATTTACTAGCTTGGTTAGTTTTGTTTTAATTTGTATAATGTTAACTAGTTGAGTTTTTAATTGATTTTGTATTAAATATTGAGTTATAGCACGAGTTGGGTATGCTTTTAGTGTTGATTCCCACCTATTATTCACAGCAGTGTAGGGCTTCACTGTAAAGCTCTCGCATAGAAAGCGTTTATAATTTATTGTGAAAATGTTTTACAGTTAAGCCAATCGGTTAACTACAGGGGCTTTCAATAGGTGATGGTTGTCGACCGTATGGCAGCCGATGTTGTGACACAAAAACACACGTTATTTACGGACAGCCCTCACAACACAACTCTCCAACTCTTCATTTGATTTGAAAAATTAAAACCAATTTTTGAGATCATCTCAAGACTTGATCCGATTGTGTCC